TCTGGGATTTGTCTCTCCGATCCAAGCCTCATTACTGTAGTTAAGAGACTCAACACCATTAGTATACTGAATCCATTCTTCCAAAGGAGCTGATCTGATCTTTAATGGTGTAAGTATTCTTCTGCATTCTGCATTAGCATTGTTGAATGCCAAGGACTCAGTTAATACTTTTCTTAATTCTTTATCTGATACAGCTTTTGTTATAGCTGTGTTCAGCCTTTGTAAAAAATTGGTGAAGGGTTCGTGCAGTCCCTGAAATATCTTTGTGTATACCTCAGTTGGTTTTCCAGGTTCTGGAATTTTTTCCTAAGCATTTAGAGCTGCTGTATGGCATAGGGATATTGTATGCTCATCATAAGTGGCTTGTACATTCCTGTCAGCGCAACATCCCTCACCAAGTATTTGATCTTGGGAGATCACAAAACCTCTGAGTTTACCTTGTTGTTCTAAATTTTTTGCCTCTTCTCTCAACCAGCTTTTCCACTGTAACTGCTGGCTATATTCTAGAACAGCTGAAATTAACTGATGCCAGTCATCTGGAATGATTCTATGTGAGGTAGACCATGAATTTAACATCTGTTTTACGTATGTGGAGTGTATCCCATATGTAACTACTGCTTCCTTTATATTTTTAAAGTCCCTTGTTGAAATTGGTTGTAATGTATATGTATTATATGGCTCGGGGTGTGTGTCATCTGCTGGCTTCTCATGGACAACAGGATAAGCCATTGTATGAGTGCCATTTGGAGATGTTACAACCTCTGTGGTCTTGCCCTTCTGCTTATTAGGTCCCTTGTCATGTTTACTGAGAGTTTCTTCTAGGGCTTACAAATGAGCACCTAGGGTCTGTTCTAGGGAATGAACCTCCTCTCTTGCAAGGGACCCCAGATTTCTCATGGAATCATAGAAGTTTTTATGTTCCTCAGAAACACATGATTCCATGGACCTTATCTTATCAATTAAGGATAATCTTTCTTCCTTATATAGTGTCTGGAGAGTTAGTGTCCATTAAATATTCACATTTACTATCAATAAGAACAATTTTCGGTACAAGCCTGTTTTGTAAATTCTGATCAGCAGATTCCAGAGAAAGAATCTTTTTCTGTAAGTTTTCATTGCTATCTTTTAAAGCAGATTCCAGAAAGAGAATCTTTTTCTGTAAGCTTTCATTGCTATTTTTTAAAGCCTGTATCAGTCCCAATAATGACTCATCTTTGTTCTTGTTATTAAACCAGTGTTTGAACACTGTATGAATTATTATGATGAATGCCAAAATGGTACAAGCCAGATATGCCTTAGGAAGGTTGTATATTTCCAGGAAGATGTCATTCATCATACAGGCAAAAAGGTTTTCAAATTCTTGTGAGGTAATGTTGTCAGCCATATTACAAGAATTACTCAAAATTTGTTAGTCAATTTTAAGGTGTAAAATTATCAAGTACTTTTACTTGAAACAATACTCTTGTTTGCCTTGTTTACCTTTCGCGGTTTTGGGGGGTGTAGTAGCACTTTTCAGCCAGCAGGTGGCGTTGGTACAGCTCCAAAGCAGGACCTGCGGGCGACCTGGACTGAACGCAGCTGAAGGCAGGAGGTGAGATGGCGGGAGCCGGAGCTGGCACTCAGGGAGCAAGGGAATGCCTCACTCACAGCGGTTTTTCTTTTTTCGCTGGTCTCGGGGCTAAGCTAGGGAACTGAGACCAGACTAGCTGCTCCCTTTTTCGGGAATGGAACCATGTAGGCGTTCTCTGGTTATATGGAACTTTGCAGGCGGGTTTAGGTACCCGCCAGCTGGGGAGGAGGCTGAGGGTGGGAGACCCCCAGGCCTTTGGAATTTGCCCCACGTGAGCGCCAGATATTGGTGAAATTATTAAGGCCACTCCACATAGTTAAAAGGAAGATTTATTTAGTGGGTAACATACAAATGAAGGGATAGGTAGGTCACAGGGTCTGGGGAAGGTATATTGCAGTCCAGAGGTGTTCTCTGGAGCTCTGCTTGGTCAACCTCCACCGTCAAGGGTCCAGTAACAGAGCGTGAGCTGGCCCATCCCAATCTCGGGTCTTCAGGGTCCTCCCTTGGCCCTGCCTTGTAGGCATGACAGTTGCCAAAGCCTCAATGGGGGTTAGAACTTCCAAATTAAAGCTGGAATGGCTACCTACTACATATATTGCTTACAAACTGTATGGCCATGGCAGGCTTCTTGTTATCTAGTTCTTATATCATACATTAACCCGTATCTATTAATCTATAAGTTGCCACATGGCTCGTGGCTTACCGATACCTTACATCTTACTTGTCGTGGCGGCAGCTGGCAGTGTCTCTCTGCCTCAGCCTTCCTGTTCCCAGAATTCTCTTCTCTGCTTGTCCTGCCTATACTTCTTGCCTGGCTACTGGCCAATCAGCATTTTATTTATACAGAGCGATATCCACAGCAGTGCTGTCATGTTCTGCTTCCATCTTTTAACAGTGTCCAGCCTCATAGCACATATCGACAGCAGGGGAGGCCACTGTTCATCATTCCTCTGTTGTTCTCATGGCAAAGTCAAGTGGAAGTTAAAAGGTGAGTCTGGAAATCTGCTGTGGTGGGAGAAGAGTGCGTGTCAATCTTCAGGTCTCAGGTATCAGGCAGGGAGGATCTAGCTGCAGAGGAGACTAGACCAAGCACATGGCATCTCAGTGGCAGGGCATGACTGCCGCCATGCGCAGATGATCACTCCTAAAGGAGGAACATCTAGAGAAGGTGGTGACCCGGTCTGCTGAGGGCCATCTGGTGACAGGTCCCCTGGGCTCCCTGTGCAGACAGTTCCAAAGGAGGCTGCCACTGAGAGCCGTCAGCCTCAACCTCGGGACTGGCCCCTCCTGCAAATGCCTGGAAACCCCAGAGCCAGAGCAGCAGCATCTTCAGGCTTCAGCTCGCTCAGCCAAAAGCACCTTGGGTGCTATGTCCCAGAGAATCCAGGAGTCCTGCCAAAGTGGCACCAGGTGGCTGATGGGAACACAGGTGAAAGTGAGGAAAAAACGAGTCCAGGACAGAGGGTCCTCACCACCCAGTCTGAGCCAGAAGAACACTTGGCTATACAGGGCCAAACAGGATGCCAGAGTCAGGGGACATCCACGCCTCTCTGACCAGATGGGTCTACGTGCCCAATGATGTCAGTGGCTAAGGAGGGAGGCTGCCCTCTGGAGCCCCTGTTTCTCCACAGAACCTTTCTGCTCTCCCAGTGAGTCTGACCGTGACCTAGAGCCTATGGGGGCTGGAATCCAGCATCTCCAGAAGCTGTCACAAAAACTAGACAAAGCCATCAAGGCCGAAGAGAGTGGTGACATGACTGTCTCCCTTATTCGTGAATGAGGACAGCAGGCATCCTACAGAAAACAGGCCCTGTCCAGCCACCAAGCCATCAGGATGTCCATGCCACCCACCCCATGAACTTCCAGAGGAGGCACTGGGCTCATCAGCATCCCCAGGCCACTGCTAATAAGGACTTGACTAACAGGGGATCCAGAAGCCTTCTATTTCAGCCATATCTGGGCCCACTGATAACCACTGGCCACAGCCCAAGAGTGATTTAGGAAGACCTTGAAGAGGTAATGGGAACTGCCCATGCTCTCCAGGAGGACTCATACAGCACCCTGTTCTTCAGCCTCACAGAGGCCCACACATATTAGGAATGTAGCATAAGATGCTAGACATTTCTGAACCTTGTAAGTAGGACCAAGGCCCTGCAGGAGTCATCCCATGAAACCACCCTCTTTATTCCCAGTGCAGAGATTCTTGGGGACCACTTTTACCCCTGATCCCACAGGGTCCCATAGAAAGAGGAGATATTTGTAGACTGCAAGCCTGAGCTCTTGGGCCTACTTATCATCTCAGTGTGGGGAACTGGGGTGTGCAGGAAGGGGAACACTGTTCAAGACCAGTTTCTGCTCTTTGTAAATTATTTAGGAAATCTACTATGTCATTTTATTAGAAAGATACCAGTGTGGCAGTTTCTAGATCACATTGCTTTTTCATAATGAAAAACTCTCTTTTGGAAAAAAAAAAAAAGGTGAGTCTGGCTGAATCTTATCACTGCAAAGCCATCCCTGTCTCCTCCTGAGGTTACACTAATACAGGGCTCCTTAGTCCTCACATCTGAGCCTTTCTGGGAGTCCACTCACTTCATCCCTCATGACGCCTTCCCAGGAGGATGCTGACCCTCTGTAAACTTTATGACAGCCAGATTCTTTTGCTGTAATCATTGTTAAAACAGGTCAGTTTGGACATATCCAAAACCAACAAGGTTTAAAATGATATTAGTTTGGGAGAATTTAATACATGTATATTGAATGTTTTATTCAGGTCTCCACATTCCTTCACCTATTGCTTCTTACCCTTAGAAACACATTATTCTCCCACCTTCCTGGGCTTTTTCTTCATTATTTCTTCATTCCACTTAGTGCTCCCTCCATGTGTAGGGGTGTAGGACAACTGACTGGAACCTGGAAGCCTCTCAGATTGACTGTCTCCCTCAGGAGCCATCAATTGCCAGAATCTTCTCCACAAGATGAGAGACAAATTGAGGCCCTTAGGCAACCATGCTTATTGTATGGTGGGGTTTAGCCTGTGGAAGTGTTATCCATGTAATAACAGACACAGTGTGTTCATGCATGAAATGGTACTGACATTCCTATCAATGTTTCAGGGTTCTAGAAATGTTTCTCATTTCTACTGTCTCACTGCAGACATCTACCATATCTGGCTTTGACATTCTTTCTGCTGCTTTTCCCTTAGGAATCAATGACTTTTGGCTTTAGATGTATGTGAAGCCAATGTGTGACACAGGTGTCACTTTTAGATTAGGGCCCTCCACAGGCTAATATTCTCTAAACTTTGACCAATTTGCATCTACTTTTATTCTTCATTTTTGGATCCTGCCGACAATTAGCTGGGTATCTGGGTGAGGGCATGCAAACTGTAGAGACAATGAAGAAGACAGAAAAGAGTCGAGAAGATTGCAAGTCAATGCCCGACAGTCCCTTGTTTATTTCACAGCCAGCTTATATACAGTCTTGAAGGACAGAGGTAGAACAATGCACAGCACAGGCATTCAACCACTATCTGTCCTGCCTTATGTCAAGGAGCAAGTAGTCTCATTTTCTATCTCCATGTACCTCCGGCTGGCATCAGCAGTCTGCATCTAGCTAGATAGTGTGTGCCTTCTTATGGGCTAATCAGGACATTCTCACAACCCTCGAGCAAGCAAGATTGAACTCTATTGACTAAGAATAGACTTCAGATTAAAACTGGGAAACTGAGACAGTTTTGGGCTCCCATACTTCATCTATCACACCATATAATATTGTCTGGTGGGTGTTGAAAGGTGCTTGACTCTGTACATGTAAAGATAACTTGGGTTCATTTAGTTAGTATCCACTTATTAGAATAACAGCATTAAATTCTCCCTAGGACTTATCACCTAGCCAAGCAAAAGTATATCACCAAATTAACATCACACCAATTACTGTTTGTGGATAAGATTTAAATCCAATCAGAAAATAATTGGTTCCTCTCATAACTTTCCTGTTATTATTGCTCTATGGGAACTGTTGTTTTTTATCTGAGGCACAGCAGCTGCACCTGATGCCATCTCTGCCTCAGCTGATGACTGCGTCTCTGCAGCTGCTGCCTTGCTGCTGAGGCCTAAGACCGGAAGAGCCTTCTTGTAGTTTTAACTAACTCTCTCTCCTTTTATTTTACCAATAAGGATTCAGGAGCCAGATACTGCTAGAGAGACAGAGATTCTTACACACCAAGGGGAGATATTACAGGAGCTTAGATGACTCCACTGGGAAAAACAACAGTAACTATGCCACAGCCCAGATCTCAGATTCCAGGTACCCTGTGGACAAAGTTAGGACATGTAAAGGTTTCATGTAATACTTATAGTTACAGAAGAAAGGGACTCATTAGTCAAGGCGGTTTAAAACATATTGCTTGATCAAACTGTTGGGGGTTACAACAAAAAGAAGTCTCTACTCTTCTCTGATGACATTCTTTTTTCTATAATATTCAAGGTCCAGCCTTAAATTTATACAAATCCAGGGGCCCAGGAAAGAAACTACCAATAGCGTGGGAATAAATCCAGTTGCTCAGAGCTCTTTAGTTCAATTCATTTATTCCTCAGTTACCATCATTCAGTCACCAGTTCAACTCTCTCAGATCTCTATTTCCTTAGTTCCCTTCTTGTTCCTTCAATTCTTAATTCCATCTAATCTTCAGTTCCTCAATTCCTCAATCCTTCAATCTTCACTTCCTAGTTCCCTCAATTCTTCATTCCCTCAACTCTGTTCCCTCCATTCCTAGTTCTCTCAAATCCTAGCTCTCTCCCATCTTCAATCCCTCAATCCTCCATCCTTCAGTCCTTCCTTCCTTCCTTCCTTCCTTCCTTCCTTCCTTCCTTCCTTTCCTTCTCCCGGGACTGGTCTATATCCGATCCAAGACAGTAACACCTTATATTTTGTATACAGCATAAGATTGTAGGGGTCTCCACTAGAGGCTTCCTGGCAATTTTATTTGCAACCCAAAAGGGGAGAGATTAAGAGTGGAGTCAGTTAGCAGTTGGGATAAATCAGAAAAGGAATTTATGTGCTATAAATATATCCTTATTGTGGTAAGGCCAAGGCATTATGAATCTATCAACTATAGACTTACAGGTAATAGGGTAGGCAAAGTCTGTAGGTCACTAAAAGTTAAAACTGTCACCTTTTTCCTCTGCCACCAGTTTCCTGATGGGGTGGGGGTGGGTGGGGGTGGGGGAGAGGGGGAGAAGAGTACTGATAGCTACTCAATCTGCATCACAGCTTGAAACACCTGCTGAGGGGAAACTCCCTTTGATCTAAGAGATTCTCTAGCGCAGTGAGAGAGAGAGGGGAGGCCTTGATTTGCACAAGAAACAAAGCTTGTTCATCTAGTTGGTAGGCATTTGGCCTATGAGACATGTAGTCTCCAAAAGGACATTTTATCTAAGTTGGGGGGTTCTCAGGCATCTAACAGATGACCTGGTAGCTGTCTGTTGCTTGTTCATCTTTTAAGACTTTGTTTGGGGTTGACTTTATCTTAGGAAGTAGCTAAAGGAGGGTATTTGCAAATGGCAGATACCCAAAACAAATGATAAAGAGGGGGCCTGGAGCTCAGAGGCAGAAGGTTCTGCTATGTGACTATTCAGGTGCTTTGAAAAGGAGACTCACACACACATACACACACAAACACTTTAGGAGAATTATGAGCACAAAGAATTCATAGCAAGACACAACTGAATATTAAGCCACAAAACACCAATAGACCTTGCTGATTGGCTTTCCCACTTGACCCTTGGCCTCGTCAAGGTATAGCTTATTATATACAGCTGGACTTCTATTTCATATTCCTGTGGCTCGCATAATTCTTAGCATTTGTGCTCTTGGAAGTTAGGTGTTCATGTGGACATTCCAACATAATTAACTTAATATTCTCCACTATGGATTCATTAGAGGTGGATAAAACCTGAATTATCAGCAAAGATTTTACCACACTTCACACATTCATAGAATTTGTAGTCAGAATGAATTATTTGATGTGTTTTAAGGATTGAAGAAGTAAACTTAAAACATTTGAAGGATTTCTCTCCTGTATGAACTATATCATGTATTGAGTAAGGATATAAAAATTAGCAAAGTCTTTGGCACATTCCCCATACTTTTAGGGATTGTCTTCAGAATGAATTTTTTTTAATGTCATCTAAAAGTTAAAAATAAGGAAAAACATCATCACACTCTTCACACTTTTAGGGTTTGTCTCCAGTATGAACTCTCTTGTGTCTCCTAAGGCCTGATCGATAACAAAAGGCTTTGTGACATACTTCACACTTGTACAGTTTCTCTCCAGTATGAACTGTTTGATGTTCCTGAAGACGCCTAGAACAGGAAAACCGTTTACCACAGTGTATACACATATAAGGATTGTCTTCAGAATGGATTGTTTGATGTCCTCTAAGGGATGAAGATGAGCAAAAACGTCTGCCACACTCTTCACACTTGTAGGGATTGTCTTCCCAGTGAATTGTTTGATGTCGTCTAAGGGATGATGATAAGGAAAAACACTTACCACATGCCTCACACTTGTAGTGATTCCCTTCAGAATGGATTGGTTGATGTTTTCTAAGAGATGAACATGAGGAAAAACATTTACCACACTCCTCACACTTGTATGGTTTCTCTCCAGTATGGACTCTCTGATGTGCTTGAAGGTGTGAAAAGTAGGAAAACCTTTTGCCACACTCTTCACACTTGAACGCACTATCTTCAGAATGGATTGTTTGATGTCGTCTAAGGGATGAAGATGAACAAAAACACTTGCCACACTCTTCACACTTGTAGGGTTTTTGTTCAAAATGGATTATTTGATGTTGTCTAAGGTATGAAGATGAACAAAAACACTTGCCACATTTTTCACACTGGTAGGGTTTCTCTGCAGTATGAATTCGCTTATGTACCTGAAGGATTGATGATTCATAAAAAGCTTTGCCACATTCTATACACTTGTATGGTTTCTCTCCAGTATGAATTCTTTGATGTTGCTTCAGCACTGAAGGAGTATAAAAGGATTTGCCACATTCTTCACACTTGTAGGGTTTTTCTCCAGAATGAATTCTTTGATGTTGCTTCAGCATTGAAGGATAGTAAAATAATTTGCCACATTCCTCACACTTGTAGGATTTTTCATCAGTATGATTTTTCTGATGTATAAAAAGTGATTCACGAGTATTAAAGGTCTTATGACATTCTATACACATGTAGGATTTTTCTCCAGTATGAAGTCTCTTGTGTATGGAAAGTGTTTTATGAGAACTAAGGCCTTTACCACATTCTTCACACTTGTAGAGTTTCTCCCTTTTATGAATTCTCTGGCGTTGAATATACAGTGAGTTACAATCAATGGTCTTGTAAATGTTATAATCATTGGTGGTTATTCCTATTGAGCAAAAGTTGAGATATCATCAGAGGCTAGGAAATATTCTTCATATTTAATGTTTGTCTTTTTAAAGGAACCATTTACTTATATATATTGAAACATCAGTGAGAAACTACAGTACATTTCAAAACCTATAGTCACTAAGCATAAATGACAAAATATTGGAGGTAGAAATAATCTATACTTCTACTAGAATAAGGGCACAACCAAATACAACATAGATATACTGGCATATTATTCAAAGTTTAATAGCTAAGCAAGGTATAAGGGAATTTTAGTAACAGAAATAAAACCACTAAACAGTAGAGATGTTCTATGGCTGGAATGGAAACCCATGAAATTATAAATGAACCAAGCCAGGAAAGGAGAAAGTTAATTGTGACTGTGTGAATTTGTATCATCTAAATACAAAATTTTTCTCCCCATAGAGTTTTATTTTAGAAGGAATAAAAGATATGCTGCACAAGAAGTAAATGGTTCACGAAAATATTGCATTTATAACTCATAAATTCAGGACAGTATTTTATGTTTTATTTCGTTGACAAAAAAATAGAAACCTGAAACATATCAAGTCGTGATTTAAAAAAACTTCAGGCTCACCTGTACATTACACAAATTTTACCGGAGACAAGATATTTGTCAGTGAATAGATGACAACATTACTGATTTCCTTGTTTGTTTATTTTTGCTTTTTCAAGATAAGGTTTCTCTGTGTAGACCTTCCTGTCCTGGAACTATCTAGACTAGGCTGGCCTAAAACTTAAGAGATCTATCTACTTCTGATAGTTGAGGATACCGAGGGGATCCTTATACCTATGCCTCCCACCCAACTGGTATGCAAAATACATTCTAGTTTAAATGTGACAGACTACTCCAGACAAGACCCAACAATTATCCTGGTGTTCTCAAGGTTTCCCCCAAAATAGCAGTGCTCATATACAAAAGGAAGTAGTCTACAAAACAACATCCACATTCCCAAAATATGAGTTATGGATGCTTATTATTATTTAAGGGGGATTGGTTACAAGTATGTATTGGTCATATCTTTTTTGTAAAGGCTGAACAAAAGAATTAAATTCAAAGATCTCTTTCTAACGGAAAAAAGGGGGATATGATATAGAAATGATGGGGTAAAAGGGTAGATTATTGAATCTACTTTAAGCCAAAAGACAACCATTGTATGCATTTTAGTTTATTGAATCAAATTTGAAGTTAATTTTTAATACTGTATGTATATTTCTACTCATTTCGTGTATTGTGTTGATACAGCTCATTTAAAAATGTAATGTGTAATTAAAAATACAGAAAAACATATCTGCTCCTGGTAGCACCAATTTACTTCAAAGAAAATGACAGGCATTGAAGAAACTCTGTATGGAGCTTGTTTTCTTTATGGCAAAAGCCAGCCCTTAGGGCAAAGAAACTGCCCTTTGTGGTGGTAGCTTGTTTGTGCTCTAACAAATAAAGCTTGCCTGGAGATCAGAAGGCAGAACTAGCCACTAGTTAACCATAAAAGCCAGACAGTGGTGGCACACACCTTTAATTCCAGCACTTGCAAGAAGGAAACAAGAAGTTATAAGGCAGGGGGGAAGAGAAGAATTGGTAAGTGTTGTTCAAATACTTAAATGGTATCATAATAAAAAACCTGGAGCCTGATATTGGGGTAAATGCTGAAAGATCAGAGAGACAAAAGAACAAGCCACTACTATGTCTCACCTCAACAACTCCATAAATCCTCTGACTGAATGTCTCTGAGACCTCAGCCAAAAGCTCTCCAGCCATAAAGCTTCAGTGAAAAGGCTTCAGTCAAAAAAGTTTTAGTTCCTGTCTCTTTAAGCCTTATATAACTTTCTCCATCCAGCTATATTGCTTCCTTCTTAGTGCTGGGATTAAAGGCCTGTGACTCCTGAGAAACGGATTAAAGGTGTATCGACCAATGCCTGTCTCTGTTTCTCTCCTAGACTCAGTCAATCTCATGTGATTCATTCAGGGTGGCTTTGCACAGCACCCTGGAATGCTTAGGACAGAAATGAAGAAGTAGGAAAGAAAATTGACTTATTTACTACAGTTATACAGGGCCCAAAAGAAACCTTCAATGATTTTTTTTAAACAAGCATTGACTTCAGCAACAAACAGAATGATACCAAATTCAGAAGCCAGACTAATAATAATTGAATCTCTACCTTTTGAAAATGTTAATTCACAATATAGAAGGGTAATTAGGCCACTAAAGGCAAGATCAGCACCCACAGAGGAATAGATTTGAGATATAGTCAATATTGAATCTCATAACTATGACGATGCTTGGATAGGAGTAGTTTTCAGAAGTTTGAAGAAACATCAAAATATTAGGTGTTTCAATTGTGGCAAACAAGGTCACCTAACAAAGGATTGTGCTCACAACATTGCTAAGAATAATCCAAACAGAATGCCCCTCCCTTCTGGGGTATGCACAAGGTGTGGCAAAGGTCAGCATTCAACTAAAGAATGTAGATCAACAAGGGACAGACAAAATAACTCTTTGACATCTAAAGTTATTTGGCCCCTGTACCAAATTTGGTTCAGTCATTTCCTGTGACCATGGGGGAACACATTCCTAGAGCAATTGAAGAATTTAATGCCTATTGTAAAAAAAAAAAAAAAAAAAAAAACTGCTCTGGTGCTCTGGATGATATAACACCTTTAGAAGATAAAACAAAAAATTCTTGAGAAACAGTAAAGCAAATATTTTGGCAAACTTCTATAAATGAACAGAGGCCAAAGCTAAAAATGTGAATAAATGACATTGCCATTGAAGGTCTTGTAGACACAGGTGCGGATGTAATAATAATTGCACCAGAATCTTGGCATCCAAATTAGCCTATTCAGGAGATATATGTTCAGTTTTTAGGGAATAGATCATTATCTCAAGTAAAACAGAGTGCAAGATGGGTCAAATGTGTAAGGCCAGAAAGACAGAGAAGAATATAAAAGCCATATGTGACTAGCACAGTAATGAATTTATGGGTATGTGATTTGTGACATCAATGATATATTCAGATTAACATCCCTCAAATCTCAAAAACAAACCAAAACTATCATATATTTCTGGAAATAATATAAAAGGTTATTATAAAGAACAGTCACTGACCATTCAGGTTGTTCAAGAACAGGGCACAACAGCTGCTGATCTGTCAAAGGCAACAAAAGCCCTACCTTTAAGATGGATAATCAGCAAACCTGTATGGATTGAGCAATGGCCTTTAACATCAGAGAAATTACAGGCCTTAGAACAACTGGTATAGAAGCAACTAGAAGAATCAACCAGGCAAGAAATGGAATTGGAATTCTCTTATGTCTGTTATTAAAAATAAATCTGTATAGTTTAAGGCCAGCCTGGTCTACAGAGTGAGCTCCAGGACAAACTCCAAAAGCTACAGAGAAACTCTGCCTCAAAAAATAAATAAATAAATAAACAAATAAATAAATAAATAAATAAATAAATAAATAAGAAAAATGGGGAATGGTAACAGATATAAGAGCTATAAATAAGGTGATTCAGCCAACTGGCTCTCTACTGCCTGGAATTTCTTTGTCTTCTCTATTACACAAAGAAGGATCTCTTATAGTTATTGACTTAAAAGACTGTTTCTTCACTATACCTTTAAAAAAAAAGCACAGAGAAAAAATTTTCCTTCCTGTTTTCTATTTATAATAATTTTCAGCCTGCTAAGAGATAACAATGAAAGCTTTTCCCATAGGGACTGTTAAATTGCCCCACCCTGTGCCAACATTTTGTATAACAGCCATTGGAAATGATACATAAGCAAATTCATCAATCTATAGGTTTCCATTATGTGAATTACATTTTACTGGCTGACTCAAACACAGATACTTTAGATTGTTTGAGGAATGAAGGAAAATTGTGCCTTTTCTGGGGTTACAAATTGCTCCTGAAAAAATTCAAAGGTAACATTCTATTAATTATTTAGGATACAAAATAGGATTTAGGATACCCTAAATAGGGTACCCTAAAGATTCCATTGCCCACAGACAGCAGGAAGTAAATTTAAGAACCATATTCCCAAGAGGTGATGTGTGTAGTTTTTGGTCATTCAATGGATTATGGATATTTGTCATCATTTAGGGTGGTTGGTTACAAGTTGTTATTGGTAACGATTAGGAAAAGAGCTGAACAAAGGAGATTCAATTCAAGGATCTTGTTTTGAACAGAAAAAAAAGGGAAATATGGATATGATAGCATAAAAGTATAGATTAATTAATATACTCTGAAAAGAAAGAGGGGGTATAGACATGATAGGATAAAAAGATAGATTGTTAAATCTGCTTTTTAACAAAAAAGAACAACTACTAGTTATAAAAACTTTACATTGGTTTGAATTTTTGTATATTGATATAAATCTGAGGTTATTTTTATTAGAACATACTGTACATACAATTCTACTCTTGTTCAAGGCATTGTACTTTTGCAACTCATTTAACAATATAATGCAAATTATTAGTCCTTGAATGTTATTATTATAAACTATTTAGGATAATGAAAAATGCAAGGTTATTAATTAGTCACGAATTATAATCAAACTTGTATTAAAGTTAGGTATGTTTTCAAGGTCAAAGAGAGATATATTTTAAATAGACAGGTCATCTTCAAACATTTCATACATCTACAGAATGTGGCATTTAAGATGTTTTAATAACATAGATTCCTTTTTTTTTTAATAACAATGAGACATTTGTGGTCTTGGCATCACCAATCTACTTCAGAGAAGATGGTGGGCATTGGGAAAACTCTATATGGAGTTTCCTTTCCTTGTGGGAAAAGTTAAGACACTGGGAAAGAAAGTGCCCTTGCCTCAATTGCTGACTGTATGCTGTCCAAAATGGACAAGCAGGGCACACACACACAAAAAGAACTGCCTCTTTCCCAAGAAATGGAAGGACAGCCTTTCAGAATATCCTGCTTCACATAAACATTTTTGTTATACTTAGTTTTACTTTGTGAAATTAAAACATTCCTTTTCAATTAGACAAAAAGGAGGAAATAATGTGGAATAATCTCTGCACACTGTGAGAATGTGTTGTTTTTATTGTTAATAAAAAGCTGATTGACCCATGGCTAGTAAGAATTTTGGGGGCAGAGAGATTGCTGGGAAGAGTAAGGGCAGAGGAGAAGGAGATAAACATGCCATATGGAGAATAAAAGTACCGTCACATGGCAGAGTGTAAATACAAAATATGGGTTAATAAAAAATATAAGAGCTAGTTAGTAATAAGCCTGAGCCATCAGGCTTATATAATATATAATTATTATATAATTATAAATATAATTAATTTATAATGATAAGTGTCTGAGTGGTTATTTGAGAGTGGCTAGAGGGACACAGCTGATCATGGTCCATTAAAAAATATCGCCTACACTCCACAGTCCTGATCCTATTACAAATCTGGAAGCCAATGAAAATATACACTTAGAGGAAGTTTGAGAATCAGCAAGAGACCTTGAGAAGAAGAGACCCCAAGAGCTCATTGGACTCATGGTAATGTTCGCATTAATGCTTCCTGTAGGGCTAGCCACAGTAGCTACCCTGACTGGATGTGAAACAAAACATTTTACTAGCTCTTATGTATCTGGGATTACCAGGGTTATATGTAAATGTTTCTAATTTCTCTAACAAGTTGTGACCTAGAATATATCCAAATAACAGTTAGACCTAATATATGATAAATATGTTTATCTGAAAAAAGAATAGAAAACAAACCCAAAAACCAAGGAGTCTTACAACACACTGAAATCTAAATCTACTAATTGCCATAAAAGTAAAGCACAAAATCACTGTATACAAACTAGTTTGATGGGCATGCTTGAGTCAACAGTTTAAGGCCTTGTAGCTCATCCTGTCCTACTCTTCCTAGGTCTGATGGTCAGGCCCTGCTGAACGAACTGGTGGTAAATGGGTTGAAAATACCAAACATCCTCGGTAAATCAGTGCACATAATGGCCCCATACAACCCCTTCTACAATAAGTAAGAACAAGTGCCGAATGAACTGTCCAAAGTGTCTCTGGTTTGTATGAGTTTTATCTAACTGCTCCCCTCTAATCAGTAGAACTGAAAGTGTTGCTGTTTCTGTCTCTGCCTGCCTCTCAGTGATGGAATTGTGGGTTTGGCTTAATAAATCCTATCATGCTCACTTTGGTGTAGAGATCTTTTTGGCATGAGTCTACTCTCACCTCTGCTACAAAAAAAAAAAAAAAAAAAAATCACTCTCAGTGTCACCAGCACTCAATTCTTGTTGCCTGAGTCTTACACTATAATACAGACTCAACAACAACAAAAACCCTGAAAGACACTGTAAATACAAACACAGCTCTCTGTTGGGGAAATACAAAGCTTAAGAGCCTCAACCATCATAAACAAATGAATGATGTGCTTTGATAAGAAAGACATGAAGGAGAGACCCAAAGAATGATTACCATAGTATCATGTTTCAAGACACATGGGAAAGCCTGCCTTTCTGTTAAATATTTGGACCTCAATTCTGCTCCCAAACCCCTCATGCCTACACACCTGGATGCACATTGGCTGCTGCTTGTCTCTTCACATATGAAGGCTCTTGTCTTTGCTCCAAAAATGTCACTAGGTATGGCTTAGACATAGCAAGACCTGTTTGTAGGAAAAGGGGAGAAGATTGCTTATGTGTTTTCTTACTTGGAATTGACAAGTCACTTCCAGTACATGGCTTATAAGGAAAGAAATGTAATAAATGATTGAAGACAATCAGTTCCTTGAATGTTTTCTGATAGGATCACTACACTACACAAAGAAATTTACAACATTCAGATTATGAGTTTCATTTAAAGAAATAACATTAAAACTGAATTATAAAACACTTTAGTAAGTGTACTCCAAGTCTCATGCCACTGAATTTCTAACAGTCCCACTAGAGTGAAGGAAATATACATCCAACAGAGAAAAGTTAAACACAAAAAGAGAACAACAGTGAAATGATTCTTATTTTTTTCACAATTTATTTTTCTTTTTCATATGTATTAGTGTTTTGCCTGCATATATGTCTGTGTGAGGATGAAGCTTTAATTTAGTTAACTTTATCAATAAAAAATTGAGAGTCAGATATCAGGAAAAGAACCTGAAAGATCAGAGAAGCAGGGGAGCAGCCATCACTGACTTGCTACATCTTCCATTCCTCCATCCAAAAGGACTGAGATCCTGCTCAGCCCCACCTTACCACTTCCTGTCCCTCTCTCTACAGTCCTCCAAACCTCTATGGCCAGATAGTGGATAGCTCTGCCCTCTGACTAAAGCAAGCTTTATATGTGAGAACACACAAAAAAAATATCACACAGCATGAGGGCGACAAGTCTTGGGATCACAGACAGTTGTGAGCTGCATATGGGTACTGGGAAATGAATCCGGGTCCTCTAGAGAAGCATTCAGTGCACTTAACAACTGAGCAATCTCACCAGCCCCAAAATTATTTTTAATACAGCAATCTCCCTAATTTTTCTGAAAATGAAGGATATGAAACTGGCTGTTAAAATGCTCCCATGAGATACCATACAAATTGAGGAAGCTACATGTTGATGGTAAAATAAGAATTTACAATATATGATCCTCACCAAGGAACACAAGGTTGCTGTAATTCTCCAACATCACATCCCTGTACAAATTCCACTGAGCAGGCTCCAGGCATTCCCTCTCTTCTGGAGAGAAATCAATGGCCACATCCCAAAAAGACAGCATTTCCTGAAATAAAGATCAATGAATGATATCACATTTTAGTTTAATTAAAACCATTAATAATATAAATACCAAGATGCATTGGGCTGGAGAGTTCTCCTGTCAACTTGACACTAGCTAGGGTCACTTGAGAACAGATTTCCTGTAGCTAATCCTAGGTGGCATTTTACTAATTACTGATTGAAACGACATAGCACAGCCCATTATGGGTGGTGCCCACCCTAGGCATGCTTTTCTGTATGATATAGGAAAGCAGGCAGGACAAGTCAATAAGAAGTGTTCTTCTGTGGCCTCTGCTCCATTTTTTTCCCTCCAGTTCCTGCGTTGACTTCCCTCAGTGATAGACTGTAACCTGAAGTTGTAGTCTAAATAAACCCTTTCTTCTCCAAGATGTCTTTCATCATGGTCTTGATCACAGCAATAGAAACCCTAACACAGGCATCATGGGTCAGTGGTAAAAAATGTAGGTTTTTGCCAGGATGAAAGAGAGCTAGAAATGTTTCTTACATAAGTGAGTAATATTCCTCAGACAAGTCTGAAGTGGTCACATGATCTTACACTGCACCTATCTTCTAGGAAACACAAGGTAAGAGCTCCTATAAGACCAGTTGGACATAATTCATTAAAGACAGATGGAATGTAAAAATAAATGCATACACAGAACATGCATTTAGTACCATATGCTACTATACACCACACATACACACATATCTCACAGGAGAAAGTCATGGTCAGGAAGAAGGAATTCCTCAACAGTTAATATGCCTAGCTGCTGCAAGCCATAGGAAAACATAATGGAACTCAGCTACTATCACAAAAGCTACTACTTGGAAAAGCAAAGGACTTCTCCAAAGGTCAAGCCATGGCTTAAGGAGTCTTGGTGATATTTAGCTAAAATAATGATTGTTTTGCATGCTTCCAAGAACTACCAGTGTATTTATCTAAAATGCCTATCAAGCATCCAAAGCCATACGAAACAACACCTGTCTCCTAGGTCAGGCAGATAGCTTTATTTCTTGTGCAATTTAGGGTGAGACCATTCTTTCTATATAACCTTACTAATAGAACCCTAACTTCTTACCTAACCACTTCTAGGAATGCAGACTGAGCACATAGATCCCTTTTCCATATACTAACCAGTCATTAGCACTCAGCTGACCTCCTCTTTTACCACTCCCATTTTTAGGACATAAAAGAAAGGCTGGTGGTCACTGCCTGAGGAAAATTTTTACCCAATAAAATTAACAGCAAACACTTCAAGGGCCTTTGATACTGGCAAAGTTCACTTTAAATGGAGAAAAAAATGCAAATTATGTCTGGTCTGAGGGGCACATTGCCATTCATTAAAAATTGTTACCCATTCTTCCTATAATTAGGAGGTAGATAGAGAACTCCACTTGAATGGTGGCTGGTCCTAGAGGTGAGCCTAGGACAACAAAATGAACAGGGCAGATGTAATAAGAACTCCTGAATCTTCTGTCGGTGTCCCTTAGAAATATCTTTTCAGAGAGTCAGATAAAACTGAAGACTAGCAGATCATTGGTGGGAAGTCAAAATGATAGGCAAAGAGAGGACTGGATTACTGATCAGGAACTAAAAAAAAAATTACTCTCTATTCAAAATCACCAATCTACAGAATATATAACACAGTCCTTTAAATACACAGCACACACATCATGGAGAAGCAACTCCTAGATCTTTTTCCCAGGGCTTTACTCACACAACTGTGCCATGAAATAATGACTAATTTTGGCTTCAAGCCACCAAGTTGTGCAATTTTATGACACAGAAAGTTGGTTAAACCATGAAAAAAATATGGTAGACAAAATATAGTATTGGCTTTGGTAACATGAATTATATAACTTTAGTTTCATAATGTATCACATGTTTTGCTCTGTACATTAGATGTCTAGCTATATTTGTGGATTTTAATTGTCAATATATTGTTTCTGAGTCTTCTTCAAGCAACAGTATGTGTAATATATCCAATAACGATTTGGGACATGCATCCTCATAAATCCAATTTAAATTCATATAGATGCTGCAAAGAGAACAATGGGATGCAGATTTTGAAAGAGTTGGCCTTGCAACCACACACACCTATCAATTCAAAATATGTTGCTGCATTTGATAATGATTATGGAGGACACTATGGCAGACACTTTTATAACCGGTAAACGACAATGTGATGAAAATCTGAGCAGCTCAGGTTTAGTCCTTTGCATGTCTTTGACCCCTGTTCAAACCTTGCAATGTCTCTCCAAGGCCTCTGACATAGTCATATAGCTCGACCAACATGAAATGAATGTCATCACCCAGCACACCTCCCCTCCCCAGTTTCCCAGATGTCTTACACGGCAAGGTTCATGCATGAGTTGTAAACACAAGGAACTCCTTCCCTCACATTGACATTAGGTGACATTAGAATACAATGAAAGAAGCCTGGGAGGAAAGAGATAGGATTGCTCAACAAGGGGAACTGGACTGGACCTGTGGAAGAGCAGGAACCAACATGAATAGTCTGCTTTACTGGTTGGATATGGTAGTGCCCCATGTGAAGGATAGTGAGGAAGGGGTTTTGTTCTGGCTGACTGTAAGAAGCATCTGCACACAGTGGAACCTCTGGAGTAAGGACAGGGGAAGGCATCCCAGTGCAGAAAAAGACCCAGGAATGTAACCACAGCAGCCACATCAGTCAAGAACTGCAGAATGGAAATGAAGAAATAATGGAGTCTCAGATTAGATATGAAAGGAGCAAACTGGAAGAAATCAATGAAACCAGAAGAAATCAGCATAAGGTCATTAAGTAAATAACCCAGATTAATATCCAGAAAGAATGAACAATCACTGCATATAGTGATGAATATTTAAGACAGGCAAAGAGGAGTTTTTCCTCACAGAATACATGAAAACAAGTATGTAATCACAGAAATTTAATACCTACAACAAAAGCATGATAGTGAAAAAAGTTTACATTACACATGGAATGGGCAACACAAGTAAAAAACATGAAATTAACAATAGAAAGTATTTATCATGTCTATAAAGTATGGTCAAATGTTTTCTGTCACAGACTTAGGTATCCTAGGCATCCTTGAATTTGCTATGAAGCAGAGGATGACCAGAGGTACACACACACACACACACACACACACACACACACACACACACACACACACACACACACACAAATGCAGAGACTGTAGCACGAATCTTAACAGGTCTTATTAATAAAATCAAACCTGAAGCCAGGTATTGGGGTTAATGCTGGAAGATCAGAGAAGCAGGACAAGCAGAACACCTCACCTTGCCAATTCCTCAGCTGATACTGCTTCCTCAGACTAGAAGTCTCTAAGTCCTCATCCGAAAGGATCTCAGCTGAACTGCTGCTAAAAGCCGGAAAGTTTAACCAGGCTCTAGTTCCTGGTCCTCACGCCTTATATACCTTTCTGCTTTCTGCCATCACTTCCTGGGATTAAAAGCGTGAGTAACCATGCCTGGCTGTTTCCAGTGTGGCCATGAACTTACAGAGATCCAGACGGATTTCTGCCTCTGGAATGCTAAGATTAAAGGTGTGTGTGTGAACATTTTCTGGCCTCTATATCTAGTGGCTGTTCTGTTCTCTGACCCCAGATAAGTTTATTAGGGTGCACAATATTTTGGGAAACACAATATCATCACAAGAGATGACAGGGATGTGCAATACAGTAGACTGGAGTTTCTTTCCTATCACAGGTCTGTTTACTGTAAATCACATGAATACACACAGTCTGTGAGTTCTTCCTCACCCCGCTGACCTGACAAAAATGCCTGGCACTGGAACCCAAGGCCATGAGAGTGTTTTACCTGTGTCTAGGTACCCTACTATTAGACAACTCAATAATTTCAATGAAAACATGTTGACACAACCATTTGGGGACAAGCAGACATCAGCACTTTCTTACAAATACTCAGACCTAAATTATGGATGAAGGACCTTTCAAAGATTTAAGAAAACCCAGCCATTAAGGTGAAGCTGGGTTGAGCTTCCCTAATCCCCATTCTTCTGTGCACTGGGTCTTCCCCTCCATATGTCTGCAGAATGTGTGTTCGCTCACCCTAGTCAAGGCTTTTCTACAGCAGCTGATTCTGGTAGAGCTGTCAGCTGTGTTCCAGAATTTCCCACTGGCGAGTTATTGGGACTCAGGTTTTTTTCCTCTCTTAATTCCTTAACTGGCAGAGAAAATGAACACGATCAAGACCTCAAGACCGTCACACTAGGCTGGCTACAGAGTTCAGGAAGGATCCAAAACACCATTTGCTCTACAGATTCTGAGAAATCTGACAGCGTCCTCCATGTGAGAACGGCTCAGCTAGAGAAGCATGCTTCCCCACCAAAGCTGCTCACTGAGCTCCCCAGCTCCACCTCAGGAGCAGGCAGTCAGCTGACCATCATTAGTTTGCAATCCAGGACTTGCACTATCATCTACTCCGCGCTACCAGGCAGCTCTCCTATGCCAGAAGCCCAAGGTGGCCTCGGGCTGCGCGCAGTGTCCTAAGGAAACTGTCACTCAGGGCACAGTCCCTATCGCCCTCTCCCCAGCCCTGAGCTGCAACCTCAGGTGACCCAGTCAGTTCAGCACAGCAGCTCCAAGGCAGCTTCTTCCGCCCTGCCACCCAGCCCAGGTTCGCTCCCTCCAAGTCGGACCCCGGCACCCCGCACAGTGCGTCAGGCCGCGCTGCACCCTGAACTAACCTCCATGTCTGAGACGCGTTGTGTAGGGCAGGACTCTCGCCAAACTTTGAGGAAGCTGTACCTGTGAGTGCTAGACGCCGGAAGGGGATTTCTTGGTCGGCTCCCTGTGATGTCACAGTCGCATGGACTACATTTCCCAGAAGTCTGAGCAAAGGAATTCCTGTTCTCCTAGTTTAGATGATGGTTAGTCTTCCTGGATTAGTTTGGCTGCCTGCAGAAGAGTTTGGGAGGAAGAAACACAATCCGGTGGACAGCTGTTTGGCCTGAGAAAAACCAATTGCACGAATGTCTGATTAAAGCAAACTTCATGTTACAGGAGCACCAGGAACTGGCCCGTTGGCTTTCTCTCCCAAAGTCGGTATTTCAGAGAGCAGCACCCCCCACCCCCCATAGTCTTTTCAGTTCCCTTGATGGGGGTTATGGTTAATAGAAAACAGATGTCGAGATAGTTGGCCGTTAGAAAGGATAAAATAAAAACAGCTGAAGTTCAAAAATAAATCACGTGGGAGGGGAAACATCAAGGTATCTAGAAAAACATGTTCATAAGGCAAAAGTGCAATCATTCCACAGGTTATTTTTGTAAGGCAAACGATGGGCAGGCATCATGGGGCCACAAGTTCAGAAGAGTTGAAACATGTTGTAAGACAAATTGCTAAATGATCTTATTAATAAAACCTGGTGCCAGATATTGGGGTAAATTCCGAAAGATCAGAGGTATAGGACAAGCCAAAGCCAATCTCACCTTACAGACCTCCAGCTTCCAAAGAGAGCTACTTCCTGTATACCCACACCTAGATGCCTTTCTGTTCTGCCATCTCATTTCCTCTATGCCCAGCTACATCACTTCCTCTTCCTGCCTAGCTCTGTCACTTCCTGTCTGTCTGTATAGACCTCCAGACCTTCATGGTTAAGTAGTGTTGGAATTTAAGGCGTGTTTCACCATGACTGGCTCTGTTCCCAGAGTGGGCTTAAACTCACAAAGATCCAGACAGCTGCCTCCGAAGTGATAGGATTAAAGGCTTATGCTACCATTGCCTGACTTCTACTTAATATAGTGCCTGGCTTTTTCCTCTGATCCTCAGATAAACTTTATTGGGGACACAGATAAAATATCACCACACATGTTTTGGAGGGTACATTAGGCTTAGGAAACAGAAACTTATTCTTGTAAGATATGGATCCTTAATAACTGTATAAAAATGTGATTTCTTAACAACAATGTGGCTTCTATTTTGGTTTCAAATGCCATGGGAAATCAGTCTGGTGTTCACTTCCAGATCCACAAAACACACAGAAATATTGGGCTTACTGATCATTTCTGGTCCATATGTTCTGATTTTAATCTTACTACAGCAATAAGAATCATGTTGACTCAGTTGTACTGTAAAATGATAAAGCAATACTGTGCGGGATAATCTCTTTGTACACTGTGAAGATCTGGTTTGCCAAGGCACCTTCTGATTGGTTTAATAGAGCTGAGTGGCCAATAGCTAGGCCGGAGAGGACAGGCAGGAATCATGGGATAGAGCAGAAGAGATGAATCCAGCTGCAGGGAGACACCAGTTACTGGAGGACCAAGTCGGGCATACAGAATGGTGGAGACATTTAAAGAAAAGCCATGGGGCAGATCGTAGATTAATGAAGGCAGGTTAAATTAAGTTATAAGAGCTAGCTAGGGAAAAGCCTAAGCTAAAGGGCAAGTGTTCATAATTACTAAGAAATCTCCCTGAACCTGTTCCTCATGCTGGATTACCTTGCCTAGCCTTTATGCAGGGGGAGGAGCTCAGTCCTACCTCAACTTGATATGTCATGCTTTGTTCAAGCACATAAGAAGCCTGCTTCTTTCTGAATGGAGACAGAGGAGGAGTGGATGGGGAGGGGGGTAGAGGGGAGTGTGAGGGGGAGATTGGAGGAGAGGAGGGAGGGTAAACTGTGATTGGTATCTAAAATAAATGAAAAAAAATGTTAATAAAATAAAATAAAAGGAACTCTCCCTATCTTTATTTGCAAGCTGGCAGTTCAGACAAGTAAGTAAAACGTGTATAATACACTAACATGGAAATGAAAAGTATCTTTAAAGATGATTTTGAATCCAACCTTGGTTCAAGGCTCAGGTGAGTGGATTCACAAATGTCCGTTGAATGAAGACACAGAGGCACCTTAAGAATGAATCTAGCCTTTTTCTGGCTGCAGGGGGATCCAGCCTCTAAGGACTGAAGCCCTTTCCCTTTGCCCAAGGCATTTTTACTTTTCTCCATATTTATACTTTAGCCAGTTGATTTCCATATGTTCAAAGCAACCTGAAAGAAGCTTCCAAAAATACAGTGCCAAGTGCAAATTTTTCGATTCATCAGGTACCACAGTTTTCCCTGTTTCCTGAACCAAGTTTTGCATAGGCTTTGTATCCTTGGGAGACTCTGAGACAAGATTCACATGGGACAACAAGAGATACAAAGGGTATCTGCAAAACAGAAGATGAATTAGGACCAGGTGCTACTCTCAAAAGCAGGGCCTGGCATGGCCCAGTGGGAATGTTGCCATAGATCTCTTTCCTTTATACAAAAATTAATTTTCTTGAACGTTATAAAGCCTCATCATAAATACTGCCTTTCTTTTATCTATTGGTCTTACAATCTCACATATGTAGACCAAAACATTTTAAAGCCAATATAGTTACTACTGCTAGTGTTAATGCCCACATCACCGGGACCCCCAAAAGACCACCACAGAGACTGAACCCCATATGTAAAAGCAAAGAGCCTTTATTTTCAAGTTCAGCGAGCTTGGACTTTCTGTCTGATGCAGTGGTGAGGACAGAGAGCCCGAGCCCAGGCAGGGTGGGGTTTTTATCATGGCAGAGGTTAGGATCAGGGGGTTTCCAGGGTTCAGGATGCTGATTGGCTGACATTTGTCTAGAGGTATAAGGAATGTTTGGAATATCAGTTATTTCTTCTCCAATGCAGCCCCTCCCTGGGTGGGGTCAGCTCATGGCTTTTCTGGATATGGGTATTACCTGCCAGTAAGCCTGGTGCAGAATCTGTGTCTGGGTCTCTAAGCCTGTCATATAGTTGTGTCATCAGTCTCTTTTGGGCACCCCCACACTAGAACAAGAGCAAGACCTGCTAGGATAAGAAACCTATTAAAGTGATTCATAGGAGTGTATGAGGCTATGGTGTTGGTTAAAAGACACTGCTCATGGCTGGCCACCGTGAGTGGCGGCCATGCGGGCGGAGGAGAGTGCTGATCGGAAGAATCACAAGTCATGGTTACCTTTTTAGAGCTTTATTGGGAGAGGGGGGAGCAAGAGAAGGGGAGAGAGAGAGAGAGAGAGAGAGAGAGAGAGAGAGAGAGAGAGGACAGACGGAAGGAGAGAGCAGAAAGAGAAGAGGGGAAAGGATACACAGAGGGCCTGCTCGCTTTTTAGGCTGGAATGCCATCGCAGGCTGGTGACGTAATTAGGGACAGAATCCTTACATCCCAGACTTTCGCTTATTATAAGAAAAGCAGACAGATGGGAATAGGGGCGTCATTCCTCTCAAAAACTGCTTCCAGCTGACTTTTGGATGTCGGTTGGCTCTGGGGGGGAATGGAGATGAGGAGTCTTCCGAGGTAGACAGGCTTTGTGGGATGCTGTCTGTCATCCGTTTGCTCTTTAGACATGTATCCCTCTTGGCTGTGGCTGGGAACTTTCTGTTTGACAAGATGCTGGTGACACAGAAAAAAGCTTAGAGAGAAAAGAATCATTATTATTTTATGTTGGTAGATCCGGCCTGTCCAGATGGATTTTGAAACATGTTAAGCTTTATAAGAGACAGATTATTTTAAAACACCTGTTTCCTTTACTAGTTTGGCATCCAGGAGACAGGAGATCAATTGTTAAAAGCATCTCACAGTAATAGATGTTTACATTAAAGTCTTTTTTGTAGCGCCCAGATGCTTTTGGGTCTGGGGGTGTAAATACATTTTAGCTGTTACAGTTTTTTACTTGATGATCTCTGGACTCTGGTTCTGTGGTAGTCCTGTATCATTGGCTGAACAGTGAGTTAGAACAGGGAACTGGGAAGAGAAAAGCTTGTGGTGCGTGAGAATTTATTATTATTATTATTATTATTTTTTGGAATTAGGGACAAGGGAAAGATCAGGGCCCTGTCTGTATGCATGTGAGAAACACAGGCAGTAACTCTAAAGGTGCAATTAAATCTGGTGAGGTGGTAAGGCTGTCCTCTGCATCCGACAATAAAGGAGAGGTGACATCCCAAAACTCCCAGGACTAAGTCAGTGGCTCTGGTGTCCAGAAGGAAAGAAATGGATTGCTTCCCTGCTGCATTCTGGATTCCCTGCCATGTCTGTAGCCAAGCCTAGGTCTGCTGGAGGTCTTAGCTGCTGCAGGCTGCAGGAATATATCATAAGAACTCAGCTGGTTATGGGAAAGTCACTACCTGGAGGGATCAGGGAATTCCTCCAGAGGAAGCCAAATCCCAAGGAGTTTTTGGTGTTACTTGGCTTGTTATATATCAGCTGTATTCTGTTATGAAGATCATGTGTGCCTTCATAGTTTTCTGAATTGACTTTTCCCTAAGAAGGGCTAACAGTGTGGACTAATCACTCTCTGGACATACACACTCCAGGTATTTGGAGAACAGCCTCAGGAAAGGCTTTCTCTGGAATCAGATTATCTCCCTTACCACTTTCAAGGACTACAGGAGACACCACCCAGGTGGGCGCCCAACTTCCGAGGATAACAATGATAACAGCCCACCTGCAAGTCTCCTGACTTAAATTCCATAAGGAGACACCACCCGGGGGGTGCCCACCTACTGAGGACTAACAATGATAACAGCCCACAGGCAAGTCTCCTGACTTAAGGTAAATTCCACAAGGAGACACCGCCTAGGAGAGGTGGACGTTAAGTAATAGCTTTACACAATTTAGCTCAGACCCTCCCTTTATATACCGGGACTTCCTGGGCACAGGACGGAGAAGAGAAAAGAGACTGGAAGAACTAGATGGGTAAGAACTTGAGAGGAACAAACTGAGATGGGGAAGAACTAGATTGAAGGGCTAGAAGAGAGGACTAGAGGAATGAGATGGAAGATGAGGATGAGCCAGATGGGGAAGAACAAGATGAGGAAGAGCCAGATGAGAGAGAAGGAGATGGGAGAGGAGCTCATAGGGGAAAGAATAGATAGATGAGAACCTAGAAGGGACAGAACTAGATGACAGAATTAAAATAGAACCTAGAGGGGACAGTAGATAAATATAGAGAAATCAGGCAAGAAAGGAGCTAGACATGAGAGCAGAATAGAAGCTGTGTAGAGAGAGAACTATCACAGAATAATAAAGTATATGAACTAAGGAGTCTTGTGTACATAGATTCATTACTTTTCATCAAAGATTAATTATCAGCTGGTTGTAGATTCTTCCCGGACCCTGGGAGGGGACTATCGAGGGGCTGGACCCCCATAGACCCCGATACTTAGCTTGATGTACTGCTGTGGAATGTTCTGTATGGCAAATGTGTTGCTAATTAGTTAATAAATAAAACACTGATTGGCCATTGGCTAGGCAGGAAGTGTAGGCGGGACAAGGAGAATAAAGCTGGGAAGTGGAAGGCTGAGTCAGAGAGACGCTGCCAGCCGCCATGATGAGAAACAGAATGTGAAGATACCGGTAAGCCACGAGCCATGTGGCAAGGTATAGATTAATGGAAAT